TTTTTTTTTTTTTTTTACCTTGTAAATAGAAATGGAGGGTTTCTTTCCACCATGAAACTGAAGGAACAGGAGAAGGTAGCCTTCTCTGCTGAGCAAAAGAACAAGAGTTGAATGAGACCTTTCTTTGTTCTTTGCTTACCTGTTGGTCAGAAAGAGCAGGTGAGGATCAGTGCTTCGTTCTGTAAGAGCACTGGACTTGCAAATAATAAACACTCCCATAAGTGTTAAGTCCAGGTATCCTGACACATCTAGTACTCAACAGAACAGAACAGCCATCCCCTACTTCATTTTAATTGTAAAATCAGATGTTTGGCCCAATGGGAAGGTTGTTTGCCTGGAAATGCCCCAGTTTGTCTATTCTAAGACTGGTCTTAGTGTTCAAACATTAATTTATTCTTGTCTCCACTGAAAAATATGTTCTGCTTCAATTTCAGAAAAGCTGGAAGAAAAAAATCGTAAGTCTAATATATCTATTGGTTGTTGTTGTTGTTGTTTTTTTAATATTCACTAATGGCTAAAAATGTCAGGCATTGCAAATAGTTTAAACCAACTCAGCTTCTGCATTCCATACATACTGCTAATTTTTTTAAAAAAGCAGTTTGATGTAGCACTTAAAGGATTTCATGAGCAGTTGGGAGATGCTGAGTGTGACCTTAGGCACCAAAGCTAGCTGGGTGGTGCTGGGCCATTTTCCATCTCTCGGACCCAGGAAAAATTCCCAACAAGCCAGCTTGAAAATTTTGTCAACAAAACTGATTACAAATAAATACATAAATAGATAAATAAAATAGCTGTTTGGACTTGTTCTTATCATAAAAGTGAGTTGGGTGCAAAAATGGTCAAACTACCATCCTTGCAGCTTCCCAGAAAGAGTGTCTTCTCTGAAGCAGTCTGATATTATGGCAGAAAGAAATGGGCACAAATATGTACCAGAAACATGAGTAAAGAAAGGGTGCTGCCTGCGGCTTCAGCGGTGGAGCTCAGGTTACTTGGCATTGATAAATATATTATGTTTTCCTTGTTAAATATCCACTAATTACTAAAAATGTCTGGCAGTGTAAATAATTGAAACCAAGTGTGGTTCTGCATTTCATATTTACCCAGATAAACTGTTTGATGTCATGGTTAATGCCAGTAGGTTAGTAGCAAGGTGACTCTGAGTTGCAGCCTTCCCTTAGATATGAAAGTGATTTATCCTGGCCATTAATTCTCTCTCAGACCTAGGAAAAAAATATAGGCCATTTTAAAGACATTGCCACTCAAGCAGCATGGACCTGTTCCTTTAGTCAAAAGGAGTCAGGGTTGACCTGATGGAACATTAGAAAGACAATTTAAATGGGTGTCAAATTTTTTGTTAATTTATTTTTTATTATATATCAATGCTCAGAAAAACATCGTGTTTTGAGTCGCTTTAGAAAACTCTCAGGTTTTTCCTCCGCCCCTGTTCCCCCTTTCATTCTGCCCCCCAGTTAACAGATCAGTCCTGACTGGCTGAGTCATTTTTTTGCTCATTTCATCAGGAAGGGCAGGTTCAGGTATGCTAAAGCTTTGAAACTGCCATGCAGTGCACATTTTCTGCTACAAGTGACCAAAGACTATAATCCTTCTAGTAAAGGTTTGCTTGATTTTGCTTTTTAAAGAATTAAGTATTAGTGTCTGAAAATGTCAGGTACTAAGAATAATTTAAACCAAGCAATGCTCTGCATAGAAGCTGCATTTCAAATTATAACAGAAGGAATGTTTTCTTGGTAGCATTCGCTCAGATTTTCTGGCAAAACAAAAAGCATGGAAATATTTTTATTCCTGGAGTGGCTGAAGCTTAGAAGATTTCTCATGGGTTGAATGCCACTTTGGCACTCTCTTGGGGGCTTCAGTGGAGGGAACACTAATTGTCCCATGATATTCCCTGCCTGTTCTCAGCATTTCAAGGTTGGCAGAAGTTCAGACAATGGTGGTTCAGCTTCAATGTGTTTTGAGGGATTGGGGGACAAAATGGTGACAATCTGGAAGTCCTGTTCATATTCTTACATATTAAACTTTTTCCATTTTTTTTCACAGAATTCTTAGGTGTCCGTTTCTACAGAGGTGAGAATAATTGAAAAATAACATCAAAAAAGAACAAGTTCAGATGGTGAACAATGAAGGAAAAGTGGGGAAGGAGAGAAAGAGTGTGTATATAAGAGAGTGACAGCCTTACGAGGTAGACCAGATAGAAAATATGACCAGATGAGCTAATTCTACTTTATTGTAAGGTTACATTAACAGAATCTTGCAAGTCTGAAAGTTCTTCTCTCCCCCCATCCACTTTTAACCCAAAAACTAGGGAGGGTCTCTTCTGAGCCTCTTGTCCATCTCACGTTCCTGCTGCAGGCTAAGCTGCCTTTATCTGACTGTTCGCTTGGTTGCGTCTCATTGCCCTGTCTCCCAAGGTCATTCTCACATGCCATTACAGAGAGAGAGTGATCAAGGGAGAAAAAGAAGTGGGGAATATGACAATCCATGTGAGAGAGAGAAAGAGAGAGGAAATTATGAGGAGAAAAGAGACAAAACAAGGCTGAGAGGAATTTAAG